AGTACCAGTCTAGATTTGTGACCTATATTAACTGAACTGAGCACTTGTGAAGAGAATGTGAATCACAGCCTAAAGAGTCAACTGTGTGAGAGAAGAATTTAACCAGGGCCCACAACCCCTAGAGTTACTGTGAGTCATTAGTTTAAAGGCACCGAAAAGCTGGCACAGTTCTACAGCCCATGGATAGCTGACCTCTAAAGGGGATGGTATCCGGAAGGCGTTATGAGAATTTAGTGATTATCAGGGCAGCCCCAGTTCTGAATACCTTGGGGGTTTTTTGTTGTTGTTTTGTTTTGTTTTCTTCTCCTTGGTTTTTAACTAAGAGCCTCTCTCTCTTTGCCTGGACAGAGAGAGCCCTGGGCTGAGGTCCAGGCTCCACCCTGTCCCGCTGTGGTGCAGCGCGTCCAGCTGGTACGGGATTTTGGGGGGGCCAAGTCCTTGAGCACAGGGGTCACCTCAGGCCCTGGCCGAACACAACAAGCGTCGCATAAGTACCCCAATACTACTCCATCTTCGCTGTCCCACACAGGGGAGGAGAGGAAGGCAGGACCAACTCGGGCAGATGACGTCAATCTACCCGCGACTGGAAAAGCAGAGCGCAAAGGGGGTGTGGCCAGCGGTGCTCCTGTCTCGCCCACGCGGGAGCTTGTAGGCGCAGTCCCTGTTTTACCCCGCCCCGCGCTGCTTGAGAGGCTGAGACTGAGAGGAGGCTCTGGACAGCAACAGAGCTGCGGGAACTTGTCTTTTCTCCGGGCCTCAGCTGCTAGTCAGCGAAGAGAAATCAAACGTTTTTTCCTACGTGAACTGAGTGAAGGAGCCCTAGGAGAAACCTTTGCCTGCAAAGGTAGGAACCTTTTCTGTGCTTTCCTTGGGGTCCTGTTTCTATGTAAAAAGAGGAGCTAACAGCAGTGGACTTCAGATAGGGTCTTTATAGGTAAATTACAATTTTGGGTGCACAAACTGAGATCATAAACCTGCGTGATGTATGGCTTTGCCTTCTACCTGGCAAAACCTCAGAGTCTTCCAGGACCAGCTTGTCCTGTCAGAGTCTGAAATCTGTGAGCTGCCTTGAAGCAGACCAAGGTATTGAAAATAAACCAAAGATGGGGAAAAACACTCACCATTCTCCTGGCTGACAAGCCAAGATGCTACCAGACCTGTCTCTGTCTCACCTGATCCCAGTTTCTGCATATCCCTAACAAAGAACTGAGCAGGACACACGGAAGTTGTGAGAAAGACAGATTTATGAAAGGAAAATGCACCCCTCAGAGAAGAGCACACTGACAAGGCTCCAGTGAGTTTGACACAGAGCAGCCCTGTCTGTTTTAGGTCTGAGGCTAAAGTAACCTTGGGAGAGTTCTAAACAGGCCTAAGTCAGAGGTGCAAAACTACTGCAGTGAGTTCCAGGGTTGGTGCCTGTTTTTCATTTTCCTAGAATTTGGAGAGTGGTCAGGGGTGGTATCTACCTGGATTCTATTAAATTGAGAGTGTCCCCCCTCCTGTCAGGCCGGATGTGAAGGAAGTGTGATAAGAGCAGGAGCATATCACAGAGTCCTGTCAGGTTGTTAAGGAAATACAGCAAGAGCAAAATGCCTTTGTGGTCTCCAAGAGACTGTCCTGAGCCTAAGGTGAGAATGTCTCCCAGGCTGCCCATCTGCTGCCTCAGCAGGGGTGACAAAATCCAGTCTCCTGGGCTGCAGGCGCTAATCTGATCAGGATGTGAACATTGACTAAATGGAATCTGGGACTGCAACCTTTCACACTGAAAAATCTGTTTTCTCAGTCTCTTTTCAGAGAATGACCAAAGCTGTGTTCTTCAACACACTTAAATTGAATTTGCTGAGTCACGGTGAACCAACAGAAAAATTATATTTGAGCAATTAAGCAACTGAGATATGCTTCCGTATATAATGCATAAGCAAACTGTGGTGCAATTAGAGAATAGAAGAGTAATTCAATGAAGGAAGAAATAGGCTATCAAGCCAGAAAAAACCCCACAGAAGACCATAAATGTATACTGTTAAGTGAAAGAAGTTAGTCTGGGTAGACTTCATATTGTATGATTTCAACTATGAAGATCTTAATTAGATCAGTGGTTGTCAGAGACTCAGGAAAAGAGGAGGAGTGATGAACAGGTGGAGTACAGGCAGTTTTCAGGGCCACAACACTTCTGGTGATGCTATAGTGATAAATAAGTTTCACTAAGCATTTGTGAAAAACAGTAAAAAATACAACAGAAAACATGAGCCTCAGTGAAAAGGATGGACTTCAGTTGATAACACTACATCATTTTTTTTCTGTAATCCTATAAATGCTCCTAAGAATAAACTATTTTAAATTCAAAGACAGAAACTGGGAAGGTGTGGTCCTATTGTTACTGTTATAAACAGCACATGAGGCCACCTAGAGACAGGCTTTATGAGAAAAAGGTTTATTTCAGTCCAGGTTTGAACAGAGACTGAAATCAGCAGATTTTAGCAGCTATCTGGGAAGAGCAGAATATTTTTGCTTGTGTGTGCATGGGCTGACATTGAGAGAGAAAAATATCAGCCATTAGCTGGGAAGAGAATTAGGCTTACATAATCCTTGAAGGGGCTAACGGATCTGGGGTGAAATGTTTAGGATTGAGGGTCCAAGGATGGTCAGTGCAGGTGTCCATATAACACTGGACTCTGGTGCCCAGGAGATTGTATGCTCCATCCTTAATTTTCTTTGTGGCCCTCCATTCTGTTTACTGACAATAGCCCATTGTTGGCTGACTGTGGCTTGTTTGTTTGCAAAGGTCTCATTCAGGCCAGGCATTACAGTCCAAGGGTGGGCAGCTTGCCATGCATGTCATGCCATGCCACCATTCTGCTGAAAATGCATTTCCTGGTGGACCTAAACCTGGCACCAATAAAGAACTAAAAAAGGCAAGGCTTAGTATAGCAAGATAGTTTCTTCAGAAAAAAAACACGGAAAAGAAAGAAGATACGCTTCAGTGGGGTGGTGGGGGGCATCAGACCTGAAAGCCCATGAGCTCTTATCCCTGGCTCCTTTTCTCTCACTAGTGTCTTTCCCATCCCCCAGGCAGGAGCTTGTGGATATCTGATATTGTTCTCTTGACTGTCTTTGATCCTAACCTGGGCATGCCTGCCTACATTCCTTCTGGTCTTTGGCTTCTTCTTGTCCCTTTGTAATGAATAAGTGAAGGGGGAGAGCCTATTAGGAAGTCAGCTTACTTAATGATTTAGTAAAAGGGACATGTGTACAAGTGTGTAACTGGTGTAATACTATACTGATGGTAAAGTGAGAACATATATACATGCGCATATGTGTAGGTGAGTGTGGTGTGTGCATGTGCATTTTACACATTAAATAAAGAGTCCTTAGGTGGCTGTCACTTATAGCCCTTGCACTGTGTCAAGTAGCTGAGGGGAGCTGGGTTTCTTGGTCTTTCATTTGTGGCTTCCTCAGTGACAACTCTTCTTGATAAATTTGTTTGGTAATTGTGTTACATGGTGCCTCTCTGTCTGGTTTTCTCTGCCTCTTTTGTCTTTCTAACTGCCCTAACTGCAGTCTACTTCTAAAGGCAGAAATTACTTTTGGCAGAAACTACTTTTATTAAATTTCCCTATTGATCTTAATAATGCTCAATGAGGCCTTTATCCTATCTTTTCCCTACCTATGGAGACCCTGTCCCTATAGCATATGAATGAAAATCAAGAGAACAAGAAAGGGGAAGAATGGAGAAAGGACAGAGAAAAGAGGATGAGAAAACAAAGAAGACCACAAATCACCTTGAACTTTCCCAGAGCCTGCCTGCCTTTGAAATGTGCTGCAGAGACTTACTCTATGTGTGGCCTTGGGCAAACACCCTGGCCTTCTAGTGCCTCCATTTCCTCATCTATAAAATGTGAATTATAAGAGTTAGAATCAATGATGTTTGTTAATTTTGTACAGAGACATAAATGAAATTTCTGCCTCCAAATTTGGATGGTGCTCACAGACCAAAGAATGACTCAGGTAAGTCCAGCTTGGTAAATATGAGTTCTATAGCTGGTTTTATATGGCTCTAATTTAAGCAGCAAAAGGGAAATTTACAGACAAGAGGAGCCTTGGGAGATGCAATATACATATTTAGTCCATTCCTATCTCATTGATATGGGCTGAATAAATGTAAATCCCAACATGCTAGATGTCAGAAATGCTGAGTTCTTGTTCCCCAAAATCTAAGAATGAATTCTAAGTAACAATAGAGGTTAAGAGTAGGAAAACTTAATTGAGAGAAAGAGATAGCACCTGAGAGACAGGAGGGGACCCAGAAGTGGGTTGCTAGAGACCTCATTTCACAGAAGAAATTTTATAGAGAAAAATCACAAGGTAAGTACAATAAGGGACAAAACTATGATCAACTAATAAGATTACAAGTATAGCTACTTAGGTAATATTGATGCAGTGGGGAAGTGGGTCATGTAGCACATGTATATGGGAAAACAAAAGAATGTTTTAGGAAGAGATGAATCAGGAGGTCCTGGTCACCCACCTGAGTGACTGATGCCTATCTACATTTTATGGGACCAGGAAATAACAATTGTACTATATTACTTATCCCTTGGGGAGGCATGCAGGCCTGGTCATTCCATCTTTATTTTGAGACCTGCCCTTCAACAGATTGCCTCCAGCCACAGCTATAAGGTGTTTTCATCTTCTGAAGTGAATCACTGAAGGCCTAGCCCTGACTGCCTTTAATATTTCAACCTAACTTAGCTGTCCATAATACCATCTTATAGGATACACAGCTCAGAAAGCACTGCAAGTAGCAGTAGTGGATGATATTCTCATACAAAGGCTGGCACAGAGCCTCCAAACATGATGAGCTGTACAGCTAAACAGCAACTCACTAAAATGGTGTTACTTTGACTAAGAATCAGAGGACTATTTTCCCAACAAATGAGATTACCCATAGGAAAACTACTTAAAACTATTTTGGTGCATAATAAACACACAATACATGTTGATTACTATTATTATATTTTACTGTTTATTATATTTTATTGTTGTTATCTTTGTAACCTCAATTTTGAGAGTTTCTGGCATTTAGCACTCATTTTGCCACAACAAACAAGTGAAAAAAAAGTAGTCATTGGCTTATCCAAGTCCCATTTCTCAGGGATGGTCTGCTCCTGGCTGAACACCTGGATGGGAAAAGAACATTATCTCAGGTCTGCCAGCAACAAGGCCAAGCACAGCAGGATTCCAGATAAGCTTGACTAAAACAGAGACGTGGGTTTCACTTCAATGATAAAGGAGCATCTACCAGATAATCTCACTGGGAGACTCAGCCTCAGTATTCCTCATGGAAGGGATATTCCTCCAAATCTTCAGCACTGCAGAAAGAAGCATAGAGAAGAAAATGTCCCACAAAGCAACATCTATAGCATAATCTGCATTCTTGTCTGTGTGTTCTGTCTTCTTTGTGCTCTCTCATCCTCTACCCACCACATCAAGACTTTGTAAGAACAAAAGAAGGGGCTCCCACCTTCACACTTCTTCAAATTTATGGGGAATATTTGAGAGAGGAGGCATGTAAGTGGTGATCAGAGAACCAGAATGAAATAATAATCATAGCTCATGATAAGCCTAATGGCAGGTGAAGCACCTTATAAATAGTGCCTCATTCTTTCTGACAACCATGTCAGGTGGAATCAATGGAAATAGTGGAATCAATGCTTGGTGATTGCCATATTAAATGAGAAATACTACAGGCAAATGCTCGTGATCCTTGACACATCCTAAGCTCACATTCAGTGGTAATTAGTATTTTCAACTCTACTGTACAGATGAAAAAATCAACTTGGTAATGTTGGAGTTGACTCAAGGCCACACCTGATAAATACAAGAGATAGCTGAGATTTAAGCCCAGGTAAATTTACTCCATCCAACTGTCTATTTGAGATTCCCTCTTAGGTGTCCAATGAGCATCTCAAACATGTCTCAAATGATATTCTTAACTTCTTTTCCTGAATGGCAATGGCATTCTTTCATATTGCTCAGGCAAAAGCAGCCAACAGACAAAAACTAACGGCCATCTTTGACCCCTAACTTGTTAGCAAATTTACTTGGCTGTTTCCCCAATATACCCAGAATCTGATCATTCTTTAACATTAACATTCTTTAACAGGACCTCCACCCAGGTCTGGTCACTGCTTTCTCTTCTTTCTCTTCTTGGATTATTAAAACAATCTCCCTATAGTCTTTTAGTGTGGTAGTTAGTGTGGTTCTTTTAGAATGTGAGGCAGATCATCATACCAATCTGCTAAAACCATCAAGGGACATCATGGCTCATTCAGAACTAAAATCAAAGTTGCTCCCATGATCTATGCCACTCTACATTTGCTGTGCCCATAAAACTCTCTCACTTACTCTGCTCCAGTCTCATTGGATGACATGCTTAATATCAAAATACCCAGGACCTTTACACCTGTTATTACAATACAAAAATTCTTGCCCTAAATAGCCTGATGGCTCAGCCATCATTTCCATCTGATGGAAATGGTTCCTGCTAAACTGTCACCTTATCGGTAAAACCTCCCCTAGCTCACTCCATAGAATGGATCCATCTCACCATGCCCCACTACTTCCTATCCTCTTGCTCTTACATTTTTTTCTTTGTACTATTCCTGTCATATATGGTGGGACCTTGATTCATGAATTTAATTCTTTCCACAATTCTGGTCACAAATCTTATTGGACAAGAGCTGAATCAGATTTCCCCATAAGGTCAACATTGCAGCTAACCATTGAATTTGATTCTGTTCTTGCCCAAATTCAGTTTGCAACCAGAACCGTGGGAAGAATTAATTTGTGGAATGGAAGTACCGCTGTATAATTTAAATTACTCATATTTTTCCCTCTAGAATATGAGCTTGTGAAAGCAGGGACTTTGTATAGCGTGATAATCCCAACCTCTGAGAGACTGCCTGACAAACAGTAAATTACCCATAAAGTAAGGAATGAATGAATAAACCTCATATATAGCAATGACCTAGCCTCTCTTAAAATATCAGGTCTACATCTAGAATTCTAGACAATGAGCAGCAATTAGAAATGTATCTTTCCTCATTATGATTCAGTGGGACTCCAACTTAAATTTTCAAAACTGCTGGAAAACAGTACTTGAAGAAAGAAGATATGTCAGCCAATCCTTTCATCAAATCCTGTGCTACTATAGTAAACCTCTAACATGCTCCAAGTTAACTACTTGGAACTTACAAAGCCCAAGTGCAGGCCCTCCAGTTTCTATTGAAGCTGAGGATGGCCGCCATCTCCTCATTGCTCAGCTTGAAGTCGAAGACCTGGAAAGGTAAGTTCAAAAACATCGTTGGCAGGACAATTCTTGGTGGGATCAGAAAGCTCTACACATTCTACCAGGGAATGTGCTCTCATCCACAGCTCACACCAGGACAGGATATTCTCCCACTATGTCCAATGAATACAAATTTTTCTCCAAAGTAAGTCCTTCACCAACACTGGATCCCATTACTCCACTGTCAGTGGTTTCATCCTCTTCTCAGCACCTTGTCATCTTTAAGCCAGGAAGCTTACCTATGTGGAGCAGAGATGAATGTGGGCCAGTGTAAAGGCCTGGTATTTCCAGGGCTTATGTTCCAAAAGGAGGGAGACCAGCCCTGAAGGTATGAAACCTCAGCATGCAGTGTCCCTTCTTCCAGTTTCTTCAAGAAGGACAGTTCTTCAATAACTGCCCATTCATCTTATGTGAGGAGGTGGGTCTGTAGGACAGGTCTGCTCTCCTGTGCAGCCTACGATCTAACTGATGAAGGGAAAACAATGGTTTTCTCCACATTGTCATACACAGTTGTGCTCAGATATGACAGGCCTTCTCCAGTCACTCTCTCCACCATGGCTGGCCCATGTTTCATTGATCTCAGCTCTACTGAGGCCAGATGCCTGCCTAATAGATGACAAGTTGCTCTACTGATGAATACCAGTGGATTGGCCAGGATCTCACCTGAAAGTTCTCAACAATGCGTGCCGGGGTCACAGACTTGGGGATCACTGCTACATTCCTCTGGATATGGAATCGAATCAGAACCTGCACAGAAAAAGGACACTGTGTTTTCAATTGTCTGTGAAATCTCAACAACAAAAAAAAAGAAAGATAAAATAAAGTATCTCTATAGCTTCTTGAGGGTTTAGGTACAATAGCTAATATTAACTGACAGTTTAACTATTAGAGGTATCTGCCAGTCCTCCTCTCATTTCTCTGAGTCTGAGTAGTAATGCTATGATTTTCCTTATTTGAGAATTTGGAGAGTGGCTTGGTGTCTTAAGGGTGAGGCTTGGGGTATGACCCCAAACTCAAGCCCTGTGTTCACTGGAGGGCTTACCAGAAAGTCAGGGGAGTGGGGACATCCTGTTTTACTGAGACCCATTGTGTTTCTTGATTCTCAGCATATATCAAAGAAAGTAGTTAATGGGATTCATCTCATCTTTGCCCCTCAAGGGGCTAAATGAAGACAATACAAGGAATTAAACACAAGACTGAAAAATGGATGGCTGGATAAGAGGGAGAAGAAAAACAATCATTGTACCTGGGCTGTGGTTTTATTGTGTTTCAGAGCAATCTCCTTAATCTTGGGATCTTCCAGCAGTGACGGGTCCTCTGGCTTGGCCCTAGAGGCAGAGAGATGGCAGTGTGGGTAATCACCATGGTCAGTGCATGTACATGTACTCTCCTCATAACAATCTTAAGGCTGAGCACCACAGCCTTCTTCATCTGCAAGACAAACAAGAGGACCTGACAGCTGTATGTTCTTCCCATGGGGTCTAGAGCCTCAGCATTTTGCCAAGTTTGGTCTACCTCTGCATGGCTGAGCTAAAGTATGTTCAGAGGGTCAGGATGTTGCCATTTGCATGTTTGTTTGTTTAATTCCCATGTTTTCTCACTGTAATCTCTTTAATCCACGCCAAACTATTGCCTTTGACAGTTTTTCTTTCCAGTGCAATGCAGATTCACACCAACATTAAGAATTATAAAATATTATTTTAAAAGTATCAGGATAAAGAAGCACCAATGAGAAGCCTCACCATGGTCTATCTGGAGAGCCCAGAGGGCTGTAGGCAGTGACAGTGATGCCCTTAGAGTGGCAGTACTGAATCAGTTTGTCCTGGGTGAGGTATGGATGACACTCCACCTGAAAGAGTGAACAATCTGCATCAGTATGGGAGGTGGCCTGCTTTTAGAGCAGTTGTACATTCAAAAAAGATCACTAAGCTAAGCAAAGGCCAAACAAATAGACTTGCTAAACTAGACCTGTTGATATGCATTCAACTTCACCAAAGCATCCTAATCCCTGAGATGAGACTTAGTACATAGCACTGAACTTGCCTCTATTGAGCAAGCTCTTTAGTAAACAGTCTTTACCTGGTTAGTGACTGGTTTATATTTCAGTCCAGGCTTGTTCAAAAGCTTTTCAATTTGGAAGTGGTTGAAATTGGAGATGCCAATGGCTTTCACCAAACCCTCATCTACCAGCTGTTCCATGACCTGTTACAGAAAGGAGAACCTTATAAGGAGTCGTCCAGTATGTACAGAGAGGGTGGCTTGGCTTAGTGCTCTCTCATCTAGTAAAAGCAGATAATGATCCATCATAGCAAGGCTAGCTCAAGGTTAAGGGGATATTTCAGGGCTGAGGGTATAACTTAGTGGTAGAGATCTTGCCTATATATAGGGTGTAAGAGGACATGGACATCATCTCCAGTACTGAGAGAGAGAGAGAGAGAGAGAGAGAGAGAGAGAGAGAGAGA